AATTTACTTGTCACTAGGCTAAACCCCAAATAACCATTCACAGTTCGGTATTTTATTTATAAATACATTTTTAATAATATATGGTCAATAAGAATCTATTTTAAGCTTACAAACAAATAAATTTTAGTTTTTAATATAGTACAGAAAAAAAGTAATTTAAATTTAGGAATACATATGCATACATACTTATAAATGTAAATGTTTACAATTTGTTGATCTTTAAAGCACATCGCGTACTCTTTATTTACGAATGTGGTTTGCACAAAGACATTATAAAATCACTCTTTTCTAGGGATATTGCGACTTCAATATTTGTGGCGGACAGATGTAAAATCGAATAAAATGACTTAACCCGAAACGACGTAACCCGAGGTATACCTGTACTGTTGTGTCATCAGCATAGATATCCTTAAAAGAGCGGAATATACTCTTCGACATATCATTTATGTCAAGTAGAAAGACAATTCAACCGAAAAGTGAGCCTTGGGGGATACCTGTGTTGATCCCATGTGTATCGTCGAACTGTCTGTTAACAACTACCTTCAAGAAGGACCTATTAGGGAGGACTTGATAATTAAGAAGACACTTCCAGTTCAATTGTTAGATTATGCTCTCTATTGGACTCAGTCGCGTAGCTAAGGGGTGCGGACCGCTCTGGGTGCCAGCACAGGGTGGCGACACAATGTCACCCCCAACAAAATTTTTCAATCAGGCTAAGGTGCCACAAATAGTCTGAAAACAGTGGTGGAGACACAGGGTTTCGCAGGCGGGCATATGACTCCCCAGAAATAATTTATGACCCCCCAGTTTTGTCCCCCCGTCAGAAAAAATTAAATAGAACATTTTTGTCAAGAAAATACTTTTAGACATCATTGATAATTAAATGATACCCAGAAAATGATACAACAGAAAATTGGACACCGGAAAATTAGCAACAGAAAATTACGTCAACCATGAGTCAGTCGGGACTGTCGGATCTGGCTGTGCTCTCCATTGAAAACGAGCTTACAAGACAAACAGATTTTGACGATGTCATTGACCAGTTTGCCACAATGAAAACAAAAAAACATTCATTCTAAGGCTATAATATCGAATGTCATTCTTTTGTGTATTGCCGTGTTTTGTATTTAGTTGTTCTGAAAGTGAACAGTTTTAAAAATCTTTTGATTTGAACTGATTATTTTGTGGTATTGGATTTTGTCTTGGATCATACATGTAAACAGTAACGTACCTGTCAGTAGAGTAAAGTAGAGGTAGAGCATGTATGAAAATTTAGCTACAGCTAACCATTCAGCATAGGGTGAATCGGGGTCATTGGGGTGACATTTGAGCGGACCGCCCCGGGTGATGTTTACTCTAGCGACGCCACTGATTGGATTCTACTTTGGACAATAAGATTGTATTTAGCTCTAAATTGAAATGATCCCTTTTTTTCTTCTTGCGTCCTCCTGATCCAGTTTTCCTCTCAACTGTTCCCGCTTTTTTAAATTTATTCACCGTTCTCCTGGTTGTTTCTTGAATGAACATTAAAGCTGGAAGCCAGATTATGAATGTTGGTACCTTACTGAAAGTCTGAATGATCGTTTTCCAGTCATCCTTGCTCAGTTGAGAAGACAGTGGGGCTGACACAAAACGATTTTAACCTGTTCTCTTTTTAGCTGAATAACTTAAAGACTTTTTCAGTGATTCTTACGACCAATGGCGTCAGGATGGCTGGCTTAACGTCCTATCTGAAAACCGGAGAAAAAGAAACTCAATTAGCTTAGTGGTTTTTTTTAGATGTTAAACATTTTGTGGGATGGACAATTATGCTGTTACACGATTTGGACAATTTTGTTGTTACACCCGGTATATAAATTCAAATTATTTTTTTTTAAAGTTCTGTAGATCATTTAAATATTCTTTAATTGCTAACATTTTAACTTTTGTTAAACTTGAAAAATTTAATTTTTCTCACATTTTCTAAAATCAACATAATGTGAATGTATTTGTTTTTAACCTTATTGTCATTGCCCCCCGGCGCCTTCAAAAAAAAAATCTTCATCTATTTTGACATCGCCATCTGCCATATTCTTTCACTTTGACGCCAAAGTTATAAGCGTAACTTTCGTATAAAAGAAGTCGATCACTTCGTCTAATGAATTGAGTTGGATCTTTTCTAATTGATCTCTTTAGCTCTAAGTTGAAATGATGATCCCTCTTGCTGTTGTGACCTCTTGATCCAGTTTTTCTCTCTACTGTTCCCTCTTTTTTAAACTTATTCACCATTCTCTTGATACACGATTTGGACAATTTTGCTATTACACGCGGTATATGACAGCAGTATTCCATTTGTGATCTAATTTGGCTCTTGTAAATGTAGAGAATCGCAGAAAGAGTCAGGAACTTACTGGAGAGGTGCTGGGAACGGACCATTTTCCAAGCATCTTTATCGATGGAATGTATGGACAAGTTCCACTTGCGTTTTCTAGAATCACTGAATGTTAGAGAATATGAAAAAAAAGAAAAGAAAACATTATTAAGGAGAGAGAACAATAAAAGAACAAGAATTAAGAAAATAACGATTGACATTGTATTTACATTTTTGAAGATCAATTTTGATTGGGAAGTCAGAAACCGAGAGAGAGTTCCACAAGCGAGAAGTACGAGAGAAGCAACTGTTTGCATAGAACTGTTACATCTAGCAATTTCAATTTTAAAATGATGAGACTTCACCGCCAATCTAGTACTGTGCTTAAATTCATAAAGTCTAGGTACCATAGGGGAAAGTTAATCAGAACAATTACCATTAAAATATTTCTAGAAAAGTTACATGGGAGCTACAATCCGGCAGTGGGGAAGTACTAAAGTTGAGATGCCAATTCAGGATCGATAACATTGCAGATTTTCTTTGGATTTTATCAAGAATCTTTAAATATATAGCAGGAGCACCAGACCAGATGTGGTAGCAATATTCAAAGCAAGGACGAATGGTAGACTTATAAATATGTAACATAGATTCTTCTTTCGATTTTATCAAGAATCTCTAAATATATAACAGTAGCACCAGACCAGATGTGGCAGCAATATTCAATGCATGGATGAATGGTAGACTTATAAATATGTAAGATAGATTCTTCTTTGGATTTTATCAAGAATCTCTAAATATATAGCAGAAGCACCAGACCAGATGTGGCAGCAATATTCAAAGCAAGGACGAATGGTAGACTTATAAATATGTAAGATAGATTCTTTGGATTTTATCAAGAATCTCTAAATATATAACAGAAGCACCAGACCAGATGTGGCTGCAATATTCAATGCATGGATGAATGGTAGACTTATAAATATGTAAGATAGATTCTTCTTTGGATTTTATCAAGAATCTCTAAATATATAACAGAAGCACCAGACCAGATGTGGCAGCAATATTCAAAGCAAGGACGAATGGTAGACTTATAAATATGCAAGATAGATTCTGGCGAGAAAAATTGTCACGCACGACACAAGGAACCAAATTTAGTAGTATCAGACTACGTATGGGAACTAATCAAATGTCGAATAGACAAAGTGTCAAACGACAAAATGGTGAATAGACAAAATTTCGAAAAGACAAAGTATCAAACTAACCAAGTGTCGAATGGACAAATTAACGAACGGAAAAGAAAAAGTCGAATTGAATAAATGTCGAAAAGACAAAGTTTCAAATGAACAAAATGTTGAACAAATTAAAAACGAACATGTCTTTAGGATTTTCAAAACTCGGCTCAAATAATAAATTTATTTATTTTAAAGCTATTAAACCTCGATGATCATCGATTAGCGGTCAGATTTGGGAGGGGGGCGTCTTTTATTACACTCTATTTTTTACCAAACTGAATTGAAAATCTTTTCATATGTGTGTACAGTAGGAACTATAAATACTCCCCTGTACCTCACACTTCAGTTTATTTACTAAATTCAATTATTCCTTCAAGTTTTAAACATCATATTTCGGGTTTATATTTTGCCATGTCCTTCATAATGGAAATGATCAAGATACAAATGGGAGGAAAGAAACACCTACAAAGACAAAGTGACAAATAAAAGTTTGACACTTTGTTCGATATTTTGTCCATTCGTCATTTTGTCTTTCGAGACTGTCTTTCGACATTTTGACCTTCGACATTTTGAACATCGTCACTTTGTCTGTTCGACATTTTGTCCATTCGTTATTTTGTCTTTCGGTACTTTGTTCTTCAACACTTTGTCTTTCGACACTTTGTTCGACATTTTGTCCATTCATCATTTAGTTTTTCGACACTTTGACATTCGACACTTTGTCTGTCCGACATTTTGTCTGTTCGACATTTTGTTCATTCATCATTTAGTCCTTCGACACTTTGTCTGTTCGACATTTTGTCCATTCGTTATTTTGTCTTTCGACACTTTGACCTCCGACACTTTGTTCGACATTTTGTCCATTCATCATTTAGTCTTTCGACATTTTGACATTCGACTCTTTGTCTGTCCGACATTTTGTCTGTTCGACATTATATCCATTCGTCATTTAGTCCTTCGACACTTTGACCGTCGACACTTTGTCTGTTCGACATCTTGTCCATTCGTTATTTTGTCTTTCGACACTTTGTCCTTCGACACTTTGACCTTCGACAATTTGTCTTTTCGACATTTTGGCCATTCGTCATTTTGTCTTTTCGACATTTTGTCCATTCGTCATTTTATCTTTCGACACTCTGTCCGCGCATGCAATATCATACACACAAGGATTAAAAAAACCATTCTCTTGAAATACATCTCCTACTTAATGATACAATGTGCCGCAACATCTCAGTGCTTTTTGTCAATCAATTTATGTTTTTATTTAGTCAATTTATTTATGTTTTTATGGTTTATTTTATTTTTCAGGAATCGGTCATGGCATCTCTTACACAATATCTATCGTATCACTTGGGTATTATTTTAGAAAAAGACTCTACTTCGCGGCGGGTATCGCTGCTGCCGGAGCGGGAATTGGCTTGATGTCATTTCCACCGCTTATTCAAATGTTAATCACTACGTACGGATTGGAAAATGCCCTCATATTTTTAAGCGGTATCGGGCTCCAGTTTTGCGTTTTGGGTTCCCTTATTGCTCCCAATCAACAAGAAGCGACAGCAAAAAGGAATACCCGTAGACTGCATCTCGTATCGACCGAGAGCCTGAACGTTGGCATAAATATTTTCCGCAACTATTCCTTCGACATCTATCTGGTCAGCCTCTTCTTCTGGAATCTTGCCTACGCTTTCCTCTCACAGTCACTTCCGCTTTATTCGAACATGACCGGAAGTAGTCGAGAAGAGGCTGCGTTACTGCTCTCTCTCACGGGAGTCGGAAGCATATTTGGACGGCTACTTACCGGTGTCGCCACTAACGATGAACAGATTGATGGCATTATCTTCTATTTCGGCTCAAATGGAGTTTTTGCTCTAATTTCATTGATTTTCCCAATCTATGGCAAATCGTATACCGTTCAGACATTTTATGCGGTTTGTTTTGGACTATATACCGGTTCATGCATCGCTGTTCAAGGACCGATCGTTATAAGGCTGGTTGGAGTGGAGTTGTTGGCTGCTGGATACGGAGTCCTTATGTTTTTCACTGGAGTTGGAGCTTTAATCGGACCACCGTTTGGAGGTATTTTATTTTCTTGTCCAATATTATTCTCCTAAAACAGGGCCCAAGAGCCACTCAAATTAGAGGGTTACCGAGAGAAATTGTTGTATGGACGTAAGAGGAAGAATGAAGTTCAGAATATTAAGATATATAGGATATAGGAGTTGACATGGCGGCGTCATAGATAACGGTTCAGCTTGGTTTATTTGTATATTTTGTTTTACGGTATATCAACCTCAATGGGTTATTTAATTCCGACAAGAATTTAGAATAGATTTGTATGAATAGAATATGTATTCTTTGGTTTAGATTGGTTTGGTCTATTTTGTTTTACAGTATATCAACCTCAATGGGTTATTTAATGCCGACAACATTTTTAGGATAGATTCGTATGAATAGAATATGTATTCTCTGGTTTAGATTGGTATGGTTTATTTTGTTTTACGGTATATCAACCTCAATGGGTTATTTAATGCCGACAAGAATTTAAAATAGATTCGTATGACTAGAATATGTATTCTTTGGTTTAGATTGGTTTGGTTTATTTTGTTTTACGGTATATCAACCTCAATGGGTTATTTAATGCCAACAAGAATTTAAAATAGATTTGTATGAATAGAATATGTATTCTTTGGTTTAGATTGGTTTGGTTTATTTTGTTTTACGGTATATCAACCTCAATGGGTTATTTAATGAGGACAACATTTTTAGGATAGATTCGTATGAATAGAATATGAATTCTTTAGTTTAGATTGGTATGGTTTATTTTGTTTTATGGCATATTAACCTCAATGGGTTATTTAATGCCGACAACATTTTTAGGATAGATTCATATGAATAGAATATGTATTCTTTGGTTTAGATTGGTATGTTTTATTTTGTTTTACGGTATATCAACCTCAATGGGTTATTTAATGCCGACAAGAATTTAAAATAGATTCGTATGAATAGAGTATGTATTCTTTGTAAGAAATCAGTTTGTGAATCAGTTTTCATTGACGTATTTTTGTAAAGAGGCATTTTGTCGGAACTCAAATGTATTGCTGGTAATATTTTTTATATATAAAAAAATGTATTACTGGTATTATTACTATAAAGATCTACTTTTATACTTTCATAAAGTTTTGACCCAAGTTTGGGTGGGGTGTTTAACTATTTGCCCATAGCTAGGACCCTAACAGGTGCTACTACTCCGTGTCACAGTGACCTTGTAACAGCAGCAATTAAAAAGTGATTCAACGCTCCTCAAAACCTCCCGATCAGAAGCCTTGCTACCAGATGTAGTTATAGCGGCTCGGATTGAGGATTCGGAGATCCGAGTTCGAATTCCAGTCGATTTCGTTACATTCCCTTACGTGCAAATACCCTTTGAATTTGTTTCTTCTCCAGCCAGCAGGACAGACTGGGTTTAGATGGCAACCGGTTTAGGAGAAGGTCAACTCTGAATTCAAGATCTCCAACTATGGATCAAATAGCCTCACCAACCCGCAATTTGCTACACGTGGTGAATATGGCTATATCCATGAGGACATGGTTAATCAGAGAGGGGTAGCGCTAACAGGGGCGAAAGGATTTGGATTTGGAATGGTTAATCCCATATTTGAAGAGGTTAAGATCATATTGATCGAGGAAGCATCCTCTCGAGAGTCTTTACGAAAAGTAACAGTTTTCAGGAATAAGCTGTCCGAACGCAACTTCCTCCTTACTAATGGAATATAAAGGGAAGCAGGGTGATTCTGAACTGGTGAAACTAAGGAATGTAGATCGTCAGAGCATTTGCCATCAAAATAACGATAGCGTAGCAAGAGGCTTGCGACGATAATTCATTGCCTACGTCCAGCCCTGTGTCTGTGGGATGACAGGTCTTAGCTGTAAACGTTTGAATGGGTGAAACTAATGAATGTAGCTTGTCTGAACATTTACCATGGAAATAGAGATAGTGTAGCAATAGGTCTGCTATGTTCCGCTTATGAGAAAGGAGTTGGAAAATAATTCATCACCCACAAGGCGGCGCAAACAATTTTGAAATCTGCCAAAACTAGAAAGTGATGAATCGGCAACACCAGATTAGATATTCAAGCAGTATTCCATTCTTGGTCTGATTTGGGTCTTGTCAACATAAAACAGGTGGAATCAGGGACTTTCTGCGGCGTTACAAGAAACTATTTTGCTGATGTCTTTAGTAAAGGATGGTATATATAAATTCCACCTGTACCTCTTTGCTTAGCTCATATTTTTCTAGGAGGCATGACATTTTTGTGTCGATTTAATTACCACCCGCACCCTGGCGATAATCACAGGTGGCGAATTATTGATTTACCGTCTCCTGATGATAATCACAGGCGGCGCGGGATTTGAAAGCCCTTTCTTTTTCTCCTTTTAACTTTGTCAGTGACAAGACCTTCTCTTCCCGTTCTGCCGGTATGTAACCTCAGAGACATTTACTGAAATTTTCTTTGAACTCTTCACAACTTTAACATCATTTCTTATTTTCCATTTTGTAACATGTCTGTTTATATATATATATATATATGTGTGTGTTTTTGTGTGTATGTGTTTATGTTTGCGTGTTTGTGTGAGTCTGTTTATGTGTTAGAGTGTGCGTGCTTCCTTGTGTGTTTATTTCTATGTGTGTGTGTTTGTCTCTGTGTTTGTCTCTTTGTGTGTGTGTGTGCGTGTGTGCGCGTGTGTGTGTGTGTGCGTGCGTGTGTGTGAATCCAATTAATTCATCGATAATATTTTTTGTTTTCAGGCTGGATGATGTCCGTCACTCCACTTCTGGAAGTTGGCTTCTTCGTCGCTGGTATGGGAATTATCTCTCACCCTCTCTCTCACCCTCTCTCTCGTTTACTCTCTCTCACTCTCTCTCTCGTTTACTCTCTCTCACTCTCTCTCTCGTTTACTCTCTCTCGTTTACTCTCTCTCACTCTCTCTCTCGTTTACTCTCTCTCTCTCTCTCTCGTTTCTCTCTCTCTCTCGTTTACTCTCTCTCACTCTCTCTCTCGTTTACTCTCTCTCACCCTCTCTCTCGTTTACTCTCTCTCCTCTCTCTCTCTCGTTTCTCTCTCGTTTACTCTCTCTCCTCTCTCTCGTTTACTCTCTCTCTCTCTCTCTCGTTTACTCTCTCTCACTCTCTCTCTCGTTTACTCTCTCTCACTCTCTCTCTCGTTTACTCTCTCACCCTTTCTCTCGTTTACTCACTCTCACTCTTTCGCTCTCTTTCACACATACACATATTCTATGGTCTGTCTGTTGCATTAATAACTGTTGACCCAATGCAAGGCTTAAGAGCCGCTCAAGGTAGAGTGCTACTAAACGAGATTGTTGTATAAGTGCAGGACGAGTAAGGAGGAAGTAATTACAGAACGTCCTTCTTAACAAAAGAAATACGATGATGATCCCCCGCGACCTTGTGTATTGCAAGGTCTTTCTTGGCTTTAAAGATCTGAACTGGTGGTATTGTAACTTGTAGAACATTTTCCATGGAGATAGCGATCGAGTAGCGAGAAGTTTGTGGCGTTGCATCTACAGGAAAGGGGTTGTAGTGTGGAAAATAATTAATCGACTAAAAAGTGGAGGCACGATGGTTTAATAGATAGCCTCTCGGGTTGAGTAATCAGAGAGACGAGTTCGAATTCCAATCGAGTTCGTTACATTCAGATACCGTTGGGAAAGCTATGAATCCTTCTCTTCAGAACAGACTGGATCTAGGAGAAGTACTACTCCTGAGTGGTGGGGGTCTAAAACCACCACCAGCAACCCCTGGTCGAGTGATGAGGACAAGTGAGAACCTCAGCAGCAGAAAAATCAAGAGATGTTAAAGAAGTCAACGGCTATTCACCCCGAACTACGGGTTAAATAGCCTCACCAACCCTGAATTGGTCAAGTGTGATGAGTTTGGCTACATTCCTGAAAACTTGGTTAATCAGAGTGGGGCAATAGGGAGTAGGTCCTGAATTTGAATTTGGAAGACCTTTGAACCCTGGAAAGTGAGCTCCTGGGTAGCTCCAGTCTATCCAGAGGCGGATCCAGCATTTTCACTAAGAGAGGGGTGTTCCTCAGTAAAAATCTCAAAAGTTTGTTATTCTTTGATCATAGATATTAGGTTATAGAAATGAGAAGAGAGCATTATATATATATATATATATATATATATATATATATATATATATATATATATATATATATATTAAATTTTCAATTATATTTAAATTTTTTCTTTAAAAAGCATTTAAAAATAATTAAAATAATATTTTTTTTTCGCTCAAGTTCTTGAAGAAAATGAAATAAAATTGTAATGTATTATTTTTTCTGTGGGGTTCGAAGTCAATATAAATTCGCTTGAGTAAAAAGTAGATAAAAACAAAAATCTAAAAATTTATTAATGAAATATACGATAATATATTACGATAAAAAAGCATTTTTCATTATAGTTGATCATTTTTAAATTTTGATTTATTGTATTTTCATTATCATTTTCAAATTTTGATTTATTTTAATTTGATTATCATTTTCAAATTTGGATTTATCTAATTATGATTATCATTTTCAAATTTGGATTTATTCTATTTTGATTATCATTTTCAAATATGGATTTTATTTTGATTATAATTTTCAAATATGGATTTTATTTTGATTATAATTTTCAAATTTGGATTTATCTAATTATGATTATCATTTTCAAATTTGGATTTATTTTAATTTGATTATCATTTTCAAATATGGATTTTATTTTGATTATAATTTTCAAATATGGATTTTATTTTGATTATCATTTTCAAATTTGGATTTATCTAATTATGATTATCATTTTCAAATTTGGATTTATTCTATTTTGATTATCATTTTCAAATATGGATTTTATTTTGATTATAATTTTCAAATATGGATTTTTTTTGATTTTCATTTTCAAATTTTCAAATTTGGATTTATTTTAATTTGATTATCATTTTCAAATTTGGATTTATTTTAATTTGATTATCATTTTCAAATTTTGATTTATTTTATTTTGATAATAATTTTCAAATTTTGATGTATTGGTATCAGTAAGATTGAAATCGTTTCTTGAGATTACATTCAAGTTTATGGCGATGGGTTAATATTGACTTAAGTTAGGTTTCTCTACGCCATCCTGTATTAGCTTACCTGATCTACTTTACAACAAAAATTATTTTCTCAGAAATTTTAGTGGTAGTAGTGGTGGTGACGGAGTGGGGGGCGTGCACCCTCTACGCAGGATCCGCTCCTATCTGTCCGCAAGTGTGTATCTCTGGTCTGAATCTGGCTCTTGTAAGCAGAGAACGTGGTAAGTGGAGTCAAGTACTTTCTGGATAGATATAAGGACACGACCATTTTTCCAGCATCTTTAGCGATGGGTTGTATGTATGAGTTCTACATGAGGTCTGGGTTGAACTTGAGTCCCAAACGACACTCAAAGGAAGGGGTCTCGCTGAGAGTAAAATCATTCTGCGCTATCATTTTTTTTTTTATCTCTACGGTTAAACCTATTGTCATATTCTGCTTTTTAACTCGCAAAAAGTTACTACTTAAATTAACGGGTCCGCTCGTAAAAAAAAATATATATATATATAGAAGGGATAACTATTTTTTAATAATTTTTGTTAATCAGCACTCATTATACACTCATCTCTTCACAGCATTTATTAGAATCGAAAAATATAGATTTTTAATAATTTCTGGTAATATTTTTTCAAACAATGTATTGTTGGTAATATTTCTTTTTTCAAAAATGTATTGATGGTAATAATGTATCGCTGGTAATAATTTTTTCTTCAAAAATTTATTGCTGGTAATAATTTTTTTTACAAAAATGTATTGCTGGTATTAAAACCTATTTTTGCACAATTTTGCCCCAGTTTGAGGGTTAACTATTTGCCCATAGCTGGAACTCTAACAGGTGCTACCACTCCGGTTCAGGGTGGACCTGGGAACACCTGCAATTAAGAGGTGGTTCTATGTTTCTCAAAACCTCCTGATCAGAGACCTTGCTGCTGGACGTAGTTTAACGTCTTACCTAGGATGCGGATGTAGTATATCGTCATACTGACTTCAAAATTTTACTATTTCTGGAATAAATCCAAATAAAGTTAATATCTTTTGATTTACATACATTAAATGGTAAATATATTAAAACCAGAATTGTAATTATGAATCACCACAAATAAAAATATGTAAATGTTTTTACTTTATTGATAAATAAAACTGTCAAAAATTGTAAAAGATTAAAAAAAAAGGCTACTCAATAAATAAGATTTGTTAAACCATTTGATAGATCATTTGATAGATGATAATTAAAAAAAACAGATACATGTGTATATAACACCATAATAGTACTGGGTACAAATTATCAGAAAAAATGTTTTAAATTTGCATTGTTCATTGAAAATCGCACTAAAACTACTGCACTGTATAACATATTACATCATAATATAGCTAAATTGTTCAGTATAACTTCCCTTTGAAGTATATAAAGGTCTTATTTGATGGCACAATGATTTAGTAATAATGTTCTTGTGCTATGAATCTTGTCCATATACAATTTGTAAAGCTTCAGTAAATTATAAATTTTATAATGCTGTCCTTTCACTGATCACCGGAATGAAATTGCAATGTTACGATTTTGAACCTAAACTTAATCTTTAAACTTGTTTTCTGAAAAAAACGGCAATGATCTTGTTTTAAAAAAATGTCGTTATTTGCCACCCCAATTTTCAAATTGACAGCCATACAACGTTTCCAAAATCCCCTGCCCTACCCACACGGATCGCACAAGGATAAATCTGCTATTCTGTCAATATATTCTTTTGTATTTCATTCCAAACAAGGCTATAATGCCCCCAAGACGCAAGAGGGCTACTGAGAGTGAAATATAATGAGGAGTCTTTAGTGAAGAGAAAGGACAATAAAGGAACAGTTATCAGGAAGGCAGAGGATGTTGCATTTAAATGTTTGTAGATTGTCGGTGACAGGGAAGCAAAGAACTGGAAAAGACTTCCAAAGGTGAGAAGTGCGAGAAATAAAACTATGATAACGGAAGAAATAACGTTTGAAACAATAAAAATGTCGGAACAGAAATAAAAATCCATTGATTTTTTAGAAATTACTTTGTTTACATTTTGGATACGAAACTGGGTCGATATGACTTTCGATAAAAAATAATTTGGATGAAAAGAATGTGCTTCTTTTTTTTTTTTAAATAAAAAGCGTAGGGGATAGAAATTTTCGTATTGTGACATTCTTCGTGGCCGAGCGGTAAAGCATACCGGATGAAACGGTGGTTTCCCAACAAAGTGGGGACATAGGTTCGATCCCTACCGGAGAGCACATTTTCAGACTAGCTCGTTATCCATTACCCAACATCGAAGCACCCCAGATAAGACGTAGGTGTAAGTTACAAAGCTTAGCTTAATTTGCAACAAGCTTACAAGAATGGAACATCCAATGACGTCCACACTGACTGCTCATTGATCAGACTAGCTCCTTAACCATTACCCAACATCGAAGTACCCCAGATAAAACGTTGGTGTAAGTTACAAAGCTTAGTTTAATTTGGAACAATCTTACAAGAATGGGACATCCAATCACGTCTGCACTTACAGCTCATTGATTAGACTAGCTCCTTAATCATTACCCAACATCGAAGCAACCCAGATAAGACATGGTTGTAAGTTACAAAGCTTAGCTTAATTTGTTGCAAGTTCACAAGAATGAGAGACCCAATGTCGACTGCACTCACTACCCATTAATGGGATTAGCTCATTAACCATTACCCAACACCAAGACTCTCCCGACGCAAGTATACATTTAATGAATCTTATTTATTCTTATCTTCCACCAGGTACTTCGTTACTTCTATCTTGCATATTAGGAATGATGATCATCATATTGGAGAAGAAGAGACTTGACAAATCTGTGCAGATACCGACAAAGGCTCGATCATGTTCCCTATCCATCAGTATATACGGTACAAGTATTTATACCCTAAACGATTTGACGTTGGAAGTGGTACCGGAACATTCGGGTCAGTTTAGGACCGAAACTCTAGTTTCAGGACGTTTAAGAACGGATACAACGCATTCTGAAGCATCAAGCTTCCTTTGAAAGAAATTTCGGATCTGGATGTCGGCTACGAGAGCTGATGTTGGGCTGATTTCAAAAAATTATGATTATTAAACATTTTCAATGGATTAAAGATATTTCGCAGTCGCCGTTTGGCGGTCGCC